ACATATCAGTTATGACTTCTAAAAATAATTAAATTTTTAATCTTAATTTACATCATTTTGTTTAATTGAAATTTAATTTAAAATTTAAAAAATTATCTCATTAAATGTTAATATTTAAATTTAAAAACTGATTATATTAGAATATATAATAAATTTTTAAATTTCAATATTAATATTTAATAAACTAATATTTTAATTTTTAAATATAAATTAAAATTTTAATTATTTTTTAAAATATAGATTGATACGCACTAATTTGTTAATTTAATACAAATTTTGAGTGAAAAAACTAAAATTATGTTAAGATGGGAGTAATAAATTGGTTGCTTTATTTTTTTTTAATTATTACACATGGCAACACATTATTGGTTATTGAGATGACTCATAGCAGACTGCAGAAAAGAATCACTCCAGAACCACGAAAATGAAAACCCTACTCCTGCAGTCCGTTCTTTCTGATACAGCAGACTGCAATTGTTCTGGTTCAGGTAGATGAACTCAGATTTCTTCTCAAACTCATCTTCTTTTTCAACCTCTGTTTCCAATTCCATCATTTCTTGCATTATGTGCTCATCAAAATCTCGATTCTTCAGCATTGATAGAGTTATTAGATTTCTGCAACCTCTGATACTGATATTCTTTTCGTTTTTTCCCTCAAATTACAGTTCGATTTTGCTAATTTTCATTTGTTGTCCCTTTTTCGCTTCTAATTCTTAATCATGGGTTTTTTTTATTTATTTAATATATATATTTAATGATTGTTTCAGTTTTCTTATTTTATTTCTAATTTTGAGGATAGTTTGTGAGTGTGATGGCGTCGAAGTTAGTTCAGTTGCAATCCAGGGCTGTGCAGGCATCGAACTTTGTGGCCAAGCATGGTGGTGGCTACTACAAGCAGCTCTTGGAACAGAATAAGCAATACATCCAGGATCCACCAACTGTTGAGAAATGTAGCCATTTAGCGAATCAGCTGCTTTATACTCGTCTGGCCAGGTTTGTCTTGTAATTGGATTCATCCTCTAGCAATTGCTGTGAGTGAGCTCAGGAGGATCAAAGATTTGATACTCTTGGGCAATTTAGTTACTGCTTAATTATGATTCAAATTCATATTCTCGGATTGATTTTACTCAGATAATTGTATGTTGAATTTGATGTCTCACTGTATCAATCACTCCTCAGGATTTGGATTTGCTTGTTTCAAGCGAACCCCAATAGACTTTTAGGTGTTAGGAAGAAATGATAGATACTGTTTTTGTGCAGTCCAAACTAAAAAACACCATTCTGTTTGTATAAATATCTGCATGACATGTAAAAGGGGTTTGCTTTTGGATGTGTAACCTCTCTGCTTTTCAAATGAGGTGCTGCAATTAGGACACAGAAGCTAATGTCCTACATTCAGCACATGCTTATGCCCATTGTTTAATTAGTTAGTCTAAGGTCCTACTGGAGTTATCTTTTTAAAAATTCTCTCATTGCATAAAATAAATAAAAATGAAATTCTTGCTTCTGGGAAAAATTTATCTAACGTTATGTGGTTGTTTTCTTATGATGTTTGCTGCGGCCCTTGCCTATGGGTTGTTTTCATTTTGACCTTGCCAAAGGAAGACATAACCTTTGAACAATTATTTAATTCTGAATCCAACTTCTTTTACCTTTCTACTGTGTTTATGGCATGTGAATGATATTTACGGCTTCTGAATTATCGGTGACATTGTTCTATAAAATGCATTCTTGGTGCAGTATTCCTGGGCGCTATGAAGCATTTTGGAAGGAGCTTGATTATGCCAAGAATCTATGGAAGAACAGGCAAGAGTTGAAGGTTGAGGATGCTGGGGTTGCTGTTCTATTTGGACTGGAATGCTTTGCCTGGTTCTGTGCTGGTGAGATCATTGGTCGTGGGTTTACATTCACTGGTTACCATGTTTAAAAGTTCCTTTGAGGAAAAGTAAGCTGAGGAAAAGCTTCTGAAGCTCAACTAATCAAGCTTTTACTCTTTTTTCTTTTTTTGTCATAACATACAAACGGTATGCACTGCAGGAAAATTAGGAACTTTGTCAATTTACGTCTGTAGTCTTCTTTTTCTTTTCGCAAGGATGATGACTCCCATAATAAGATTGGATTTAGTGTTCGTTCTGGATCTAATGCATTTTGGCAATTTGAAGGTATTTTTACTGGATGCGGCACACTTGTATTGATTTTTATATTATGAGTAATCAACGAATTAAAGGGACGGAGTACCAGTTTATATTATGAGTAATCAACGAATTAAAGGGATGGAGTACCAGTTTATATTATGAGTAATCAACGAATTAAAGGGATGGAATACCAGTTTCTGGCCATATGATTTAAAAGGGACTTAATTTAATAAATCATCTATTAATTTTTATATTTTTTTTTAGTTTCATTTATTATCTTTGAATTATTTCATTTTTATCTATTCTCACGTTTATTTTAATTTCATTTAATCTGTTAAAGATAACAAAAATCTTCTTATTGGTCAGAAAATATTTAGTACTAACTATTTTTTTTTTTGTTTTTTTAGTCTTTAAATTTATACACCCTAAAAATAGTTTTTATTCTTGTTTTACTAAATATGTTTTTTTGGAAAATTATTTTACATAACATTTTGCATACAATCTACTCTATAAAATTATTTAATTATTTTTAATTTTATTTTTATATTATTTTTTAGAGACATTTAAATAATTTTCTAAGACAAATTATATGTAATTTGTCTTATAAATCAGACTTACTTTTGAAATTTCTTGTTCTAAACTTACTAAATTTCTTTGTTTAAATTGAGTTAGTTGCTCAAGTTTATTACAAATTTTAACTAATATATTTCTATAAAATATTTTTTGAGTTATCATATTTTATTGAGATTATAGTGTCATTTTTTTAAAAACTTAAAGGATTGTTTTTTTCTATTAGATTTAACAACAACTTTGTATGGTAGATTAATTTGAAATATTCTTCAAAGTTTATAGACCGTTTAGAAAGAAAACAAACTGTATAGATTAAAATAAAATAAACTGATAATTAATAGACTAATTATTGAATTAAACCAATTAAAAGGTATTGCCATCGAATGGCATCTAGGTCGTGCATTTTCTGCCCACTAAGCCATTAATTTTCTTTTCTTTTCTTTTCTTTTAATGAAGCAAGTTGGGAATGCTGTAAGAGCTTGAAAGTACAAATTAAAAGCTTACACCTTGAATGAATTTAAGTTTCCGGATAGTGTCATATAGCCCATAAAATGGTGTTCGAATTTTACGGATTTACCCGTTGCAAAAACAGAAAGGCTGTTTTATAAATTAAAAATGATGCACATTCCCTACAGGGTCAATGCTATGTATGTTTCTCATGTTATTTCACCGATCAATATTTGTGAAAATATTTGAGCAAGATTACTTATTAGCAACCATCAACAGCAAGACATCAGGAAAGTTTGACAAGAAGGCTACAAAATGCTGCACAACATCCCTCCCTCTGTATATGCTCAAAACGTATAAGTAAGAAAATGAAATCCCTGGTCAACCATCTGTAGTTCTAAAAAATGGGGTTGAGATTCTCTACCGCAATGTTTGGTGGGATAGAATGGCTATTACTTGGTCAATGCATGAAAATAAGACAGGATAAGGAAGAGGAGGGATAAGAGGGGAATAAGGTTACTTATTTTCTTTGCAATTGGGAATAAAGTAGGAATACCTAGTGCCACCTTCATTTTAGGTTTTAGTTATTCCAACATTGTTCCTCAATTTAAAAGAAAATAAACAATCTTATTCTCACCTTCTTTTTCTCATCTTTTCAAGTACACTTCCTTTTATTGTCTTACTTTCATGCATTGACCAAGTAATGGCCATTCCATCCAACTAAACATGGCCAACAAGCTGCAGTTTCTGTAAACACCATTCAAAAGGGATGGTTCCTAAATGCATGCACCATCTTTGGAGAGAGGAGCAGAATAAATGCCAATACTGATCCAAAGAACATCTTCACAAGGTATTTCAGGGGGTCATTATCCAAATTCTCTCCAGAGGTGCCCTCTGAGTTTGTCATGGCTTTTGCTGAAGGTAGAGCTTCAATTACTGCTTCTGCTAGATCTGTAATAAATGAAGATGTGCAGTTTAACGCAGGTACACGACCCCAGTTCTCGATGCCAGATTCAAGAGCCAGATGCTTGTATTCCATGTCAATCTCTTCAAGTGTCTCAATGTGCTCGCTCACAAAGCTGGAAATCCAGGGCAGGTACAGTTAATTTTCAGTGCATAACTTAAAAACTTGAAAATTCATACATAGTAGAGATTACTGGAAAGAATGTAAGTAGTTAAAGTTATCTAGTTGTTAGATTAACAAACATCATACAAGCTACTTTGTAACTGAACTATTAAAAATATTAATTCAACTTATTTGAAAAGTTTCATACCAAAAACAAAAAATTGAACTGCTAGGAATCCAGATAACCATTCATTACATAAACTAATTAACAAACACCGGATATGCTACTTCACTAATAGTGTACCTCACTGGGACAGCTAGTAGACTCTTAACACCTTTCTGGCCAAGGTCAACAAGAACTTCATCTGTGTAGGGCTTCAGCCACTGTACAGGTCCAACTCGACTCTGGAGAAAGACAAATAAGTTGTTAAATTGAGGGGAAGTCCAGCATTCAGATAAAGAAACTAAAACATCTGAGGTTAAGTTTTCAAACCAACCTGGTAAGCAAGAGTATGATCATTGTTAATTCCTCTAGCTTTTAACTCTTGCATAATTAAGTAGATGCAATCCTCCATCTGATCTTTGTAGGGGTCTCCAGCATCCTCAACATAACTGACTGGTACTCCATGGGCACTAAAGAATACCATGACCTAGAGTTCCAGATTAAGACAAGTAACAGCTGTTAGCAACAGATCCCATTAAAGGACAAATGGCCTAGATGTTTCAAATTCTGATAATCTAGTGCATAGAACTTATTTAGAAGTCAATACCTCCTCGGGCTTTGCAAATCTCTCCAGCTCTTTTGCAATCAAATCAGCCATAGACCTAATATAGCCCTCACGTTGATACCAGGACTTTATAATAGCAACAGGCAGTCTTGATAAAAATGCATCTTCCCTGAAAGATAATTCACACTCAGAATGATGTGTCAAGGTGAAAGAGCAATTTCATGCTCAGACGTGGAGAATAGGAAGTAACAGAACTACCTGAATGAATTCTGAAGCACACGGATGCTTGACCCAGTTGTGGAGATAGAGAACTGTGGATATAGTGGCAGTACAACAAGTCTTGTTATGTTGTCCCTCTTGATCTGTCACATTAATGAAATTCTTTAGCAAAATGGAACATTTTGATGACAGAGCATTCTTTATTTAGCCTGTAATTCCTTAGTAACTCAAGGTTAAAAAGATTCTCTACAACTCCACTCCTTGAACCTGTTACTTCCTAAAATTTTAAAGGAACTTAGCAAAAGTACCTCAAACACCTAACCAAAAGAGATAGAGCTGACAACTAAGCATAACATCTGCCGCATCTCCTTATAATTAATGTCGCTAATTCTGCAGGCAAAATGACTGTGCTACAGTAAGATTTACCTGTTGAATTGCCTCTTCAGTGAATGGATACCAATAACGCATTCCAACATATACATTCACAGGCATATTCTTCACTTCCAAAGCCAGTTTAAGAGCATCCGCCTGAAACAAGTAACTTCAAATTATAAATAAGCATATTGCATGCAGCCTACCCAAAATTATATTATGGAAACCAGAGAGAGATTTAAAAGCACAAAGCAGATTATATAATGGTTCACTTCAGGCGTGAAGTAATTAAAAAAAGAAATCCAAAATTGCATAGAATACAAAATAATGCATATTGAAGGAAAAGCGTCCAACCTGCTCGTCCGTAATTTTACGCAAAGGAGAGCCACCACCAATAGCAGCATACCCTTCTTTACTCTTAGGAGCCCGGAGTACAGAAATCAACTTTGCCAATGGCCACTGAAGGAACCCAAACAACCTAGGAAGGCGAATGATGTCCTGTGTCAAAACACCATAAGCATCAGAGCAACAATACTAACCCAAAAAACCACCCAAAAAAAAAAAGGAACGAGAAATGATAACATACAGGATCAGCAAACAAATTAAACAAAAAGGGTTGAACATCGTTAAGTGTCTCTGGCCCTCCAAGATTCAGAAGCAGGACTCCAATTTTCTCCTCTGTGCCATGCGAAGCAGATTCCACAAAACTTTCTCCATACGTTGAGACCCCAACCGAGCAGCGGGTCTCCAAAGTTGAACCCCTCTTCCGAACAGCACCGCCACGATGTAATCCTCCGACAGAGCCATGACATGAAACCGACACGATTTGCTTTCGCTGAGGAAATAACCGGCACCTAAATGCAGACAGAAAAACAAAGAAATTTATCACCACTTTGAATCGACTGAGCGAAAGAAATTAGAGACGATTATCCAGAGTGTACAAGCCGTGTACCTCCGATCGGAATGGCGGAGATCGGAAAGAGGGAGCTTGAAAGCAGAGCAAGACGTCGACTCCATGGATTTGATTGAAGAATTGCAGAAATGTGAAAAAGGAAGGATTTTTATAATGTTGTTTGCGGAATTGAGAGAGAGAAAAAAAAAAAAAAAAAGACTACGTACCAAAAGTCCAAGTCAAATAAAAACTACTCGAGACGGCTTCAAAGGAAGGAAACGCAATACAACACGCAGTCGTAACGTGATGACTCCAAGAAATTAGGACGGTGGGGGGGTTCGGTTTCCGTACCTTTCATTTTAGGTTTTATTGAAACGACAGCGTTCGGAATTTGCCGTATTAAGTTCGCAAAATTTTAGACAAATTTTGGATATTTATGTAATTTTAGGGCTAGGATGGATTAGGGTTTCTGAGAACCAGTAGTATATAAGCCTAACAAGTGTCTCTCATTTCCTCCGTACTTTTCACTCACTCTGTTTCCTCTTCTTTTCACTGTAAAGTTGTTAGATTGGAAACCTGAAATGTAGAATGTAAAGGGTTCTTTTTCTTTTGATCCCTGGGAGAAGATGAAGGAAGAGTCGATTATATTAGGGTTCTGAAGGTATAAGATCTTTATTGTTGTGTTGGATTGGATCTTGACTGGTTGTTTTAGCAATCGGCTCCACAAAAAGAGTCAGCAGCAGGCGTCAATTAATGGCGACTTGACTGCCGCTTGGAGCCAAGATCAAGTTAAACGGGTGAAGACCCTTGAAATTAAATACCATTTTTTTCAAGACACAATATCCCGTTTACATCTTAATCTTCAGTTGATTGTAGCCCTTTTGTTCTGGGGGCTTGATTTGTTGTTTAAGATTCAAAGAAATCATATTTTTGTTTTTGGATTACATGTATGTATGTGTTTGGAAGGCATTCAGTCAGACACGGGTGTTTGTTCTTGAGATAACAATTCACCTTTTGCAAAGTGCCGAGAGAGAGCTGCTTACACGATTGGAGGAAACCTTATGCTTCTGCATGGTTTCCTTCAAATTTAAAGTAGCTAAATGGCTTTACTTATTTAGATGAAGCTTTCTTCTCGTTTTGCAAAATTTATAAGATCTGAATTTTTTTCAGGTTCTTGAGATACTCTTCTTGGCATGTGAAGATAGATATGTAAAACAAGTTGGACAAAGAACAACTGAGTGACCCTGGGTTGAGTGAAAAAATGGTGGTGGGAACCTTCAAACTAAACTATGAAGAAAGCATGGCAATGACTCCCTTTTTTAGTCAACAGGGAATGCCAATGCTAATTGGCAACTTTTCTGCCGCTTGGCGCCTATAAAAACTTGCTGGGAATCAGATGCTTAGAAAACGTGATATTGTTTTTATGCCATGAATTTCGGCAACAGATCTGTATGCTATACATTTTTTTGGAGAAAATTTGATGAGTACACACTAATTCACAATGTGTTTTTAACAATCTTGTACACTTATAGCAGCCTTTCGAGTGAACTTTTGTATCAAAGAAATGAATCCTTATTCTTATCACTGGAATATTTACTTGACAGAAGTGTGAGCAAAGTTACAATTGCTCTTTGTCCATAACTGCCAAGTGCTCTTCGCACTTTTGCAAGTGGAATTAAGAAAATGTTATCATCCACAATGTAAGCCTCAAGCAAGGTTTAATGGGTACATCAAGAGGACAACATTTACATGATACAATGAAAACATACGACATCATAGAAAATATCAAAGAACTGGGAAGCAGATTCAGCTCTAGCTCTCCAAAGACAAAACGATTCTAATAGCTGCCATAGATAAAAAAATTCCATCTGAAACCATTCCAATTTGCAAATACATCAAGACGAAATTGCTATATCAGAATGAACCTAATCCAAAATCTGCAGACTGAAAAATCAAAATTGTGATTGAAAATTTGAAAAATACAAACGTCTCATTGCTCCAAATGTTCCATTCCACTATGCATAATATTAGAAGCAACAATCACAATCAAATGGGCAAAGTGGGGTACCTCCAGCATTAGATTTATTCATACCCAGCTCCTCTTCAGTATAAATTACTAGCCCATCTTCAGTTTTCTTCCGAGGCCTAGCAGGGTCAATGGTTCCACCCTCATTGGATCCTCCTTTGCTCTTATCCTTGTTTTTCTTCTTGGATTTTGGTTTTAAACCCTCATCACCCTTTGATTTCTCAGTCTTTACTTGTTCAGGTCTCTTCCTCTTTTTACCAGAAAAGATTTCATCAATTTCATTCCCAGCCTTCTTGGGTGTTGAAGAAGCTGACTGCTTCTGCTCCACAGCAGCATCTTCTTTTTCTTCTTTGTTTCCAAGCAATTTTGTACATTTCTTCTTACCCATCAGCTATTGGCAAAAAATCATAGTTACACAACAGTTCATAATTCACAAATTCATAAAGAAAATTAAGGTTCTATATGAGAAGAATCAAAATTTATAGTACAAAGTTAATGAACCCAAAATAAATGAAATCAACAAATTGCTCCCAAAATCATAGTACATACCCAATAAGCAACGAAGAAACGAAGAGCGCTAAAACAACACGAAAACTAATCAAACTAAAGAAAGAAACAAAAAGATGAAATCTCAGCAAATACCCACTATTCCTAGGTGTGTTGCGACAACAAATTACAAGTCGTTGAGTCGCGAAGGTGAAGGACGAGATTAGCTTAAGAAGAGAGAAGTTACTGACAGCTACTTATAAGGAGAACAATTCAAACCCTCGATGGAGAGATAAAACAAGACGAGGAAGTCCGTCCCCAAACTATGAAACTGGTTAAGAGTATACAAAGAAAAATGGGATGTTTACTGAGAGCGGCTAGGGCTTGATGCCTGTGTAGGTGTGCAGAGGCGCCAAGGAGGAAGAAGAATTGGGTTGGGCTTGGGCTGGTTCAATTGATTTAGGCTGAATTCGGTCCATATTTTTATGGGCCTCATTCAGCACCCCAAGTAGGCAAGTATCCGGATTTCGGGTTTTTTTTGCTCTTGGGATTAATCCAAAAAAAAAAAAAAAGTTATTCCTATGAATTCCTTGATATTAAAGAGTCTTTCCTTACATTTAATAATTTATATTTTGTAATTGTAAAAAATATTATATAATTTGAAATATATCAAAATACACAATATTTAGCATTAAGTAAAAAATACAATTTAACACAATTTAAAATATGAAAAAAAACACCTTTTTGTAATTTGAATTGGACTTGGCTCAATTCATTTGCATCCCTCTATTCTTATCTATCATTTTTTATTATGAACATACACAAATCAAACAAAAGCCTAAAGAATTCTCCACATAATAAATGAAGTGATTCCACTTTATTCATTAATAAGAATACCGCTGAGAGATTTGAATTTCAACTCCAAGCTCCTCTTTCTCCCACTTCCTTAGTAGTCCTAGATAATTGTATTTGTTTAGAAAAACAAAAGCCTAAGGAAAATCAAAATACATTAGTGATTATTTAGAAGCATTTACTTCCATTGGTACTGTTTGTTATTGTCTGCTGATAACCGGTACAAATCTTGGCTTCAGATAAAATTCAATCTTAACATCAGAAAAAATTACAAAATTTGTTATCTTCCCGTGAAGAAAGCAATTAAAATACAAATCTTAAAATAGTTTTCTGGACTCCTCTCACAAGCCAACTATCTCCTTCATACACCGGGTATTGGAAACTTAGTAGTGAGCGCTTCAACTCTGCTACGAAGATCCGACACCTTATCCATCAGAGGGAAATCAGGTGATGTAACAAACTTCAAGAAATCCTGGAGCTTTGATCCTGACATTAGACGTTTAGCATCTATGGTTATTTGAACACCTTCATGGATGAAGTCAGCAATGACTTTAAATTCCTTTTCTGTGAATCCTCTGGTGGTCATTGCTGGAGATCCAATGCGAATGCCTCCTGGCACAAGGGCACTCTTATCACCTAAGAAAATTGGAGACGTGTGAAGTTAGGTACCATATATAAAAGAACATTTCTTGTTCAGACTTCAGATGAAATGAGGAAAAGTAAAGAGAAAAACCCACCAGGCACAGAATTTTTGTTCAGTGTGATAGAGGCCATGTCAAGTATTTTCTCCACCCGAGCGCCATCCATACCCTATCGATAGGGAGGCAAATTAGTTTAGTAATGGAGGGAGCAAAAGCACAGGCCTAAATATCATTAGAAAACATCATTTTTTTTTTTTTTATTTGCTCTAACTAACAGCATCTGTTTCTGACTCAATATGTTTTGACATGAAAAAACATAATTGCCATAAGTGAGAACATAACCACATCAGCAAGTTAGGGATAAAATTGACATCATCCACAAGAAAGTTACCAATGGCCTAAGATCCACAAGTACTAGGTGATTGTCACTTCCACCAGATACCAATTTATAACCCAGTTCAACCAGTCGGCTCACAAGAGCTCTACAATTAGAAACAACCTATAGGACAAAACATGCACATTAGGTCTGATGGGTTAGGACATCATCCAGTCTGATTTTTTTATCCTAAGAAAGAGAAGTACCTTATTCTGGTAAGCCTTAAACTCTGAAGACTGTGCATGTTTCAAGCAAACTGCAAGACCACCAATTGTGTGGTTATGAGGACCACCCTGCATGGACAAAATTGTGACTTCTATATTCTACCACTAGGTTCATGACTAGAGATGGTCAATTTGGATATCCAGTGAAGGGAATCTCATCAAGACAAGTGATCATAGTGAAAACAAGAGTCAAACTAACCTGTAATCCTGGGAAAACAGCATTATTAATGGCAGATTCCAAGTCAACTCCTAGAACAGGATCCTTTCTGAAAAAGATCATGCCACCTCTTGGACCTCTCAAAGACTGGAAACAAGGGACCAAATTCAGTGGTGTAGCTACTAGATACAATAAAAGTAAAAGAGAAAATAGTTTTTGGAAAATATAAATAGTACATCTTTAGGAGAGACACGGAGGTCTAAGTTATGCTACAAAACACTTGCACAATAAGATACAGAAAAATGCTTTCTCAAATTCTCTCAGTAAATGCATGAACATTAAGATCAGTAAAACTGTAAGTCATAAGCATTGAGAAAAAGTGAATTTGGACAAGTGTAGTCCACCATAAAAGTTTAAAATAGTAGAACCCATGCCTTATGTGTTGTTGTTGTCACAATATCACAATACTCAAAGGGGTCAGCAACCACAGAAGCAGCAACAAGGCCACCTATGTGAGCCATATCCATCATGAGAAATGCACCAACAGCATCAGCGATCTTCCAAAGCAAAAAAATTTTAATAAGTTAGATGCCAAAGACTAAAAATATGCAAACATTTCTGCTTAGGAAGAGGAACGATATAACCACTACCCACATAAATCCTTACCTTTCTCATGTGAGGATAGTCGAAATCTCTAGGATATGCACTAGCACCAGCAATAATGAGCTTTGGTCGAAAAAGAATAGCAGTTTTCTCAAGCATGTTGTAATCAACAAGACCTGTTATGATATTATTTGTTCAAAACAATGAACCAAATAATCAAAATATCAAAAACCTACATAGAAAAAATTTAGTTTGAATGAAAGCATCACCTGAAGATTCATTGAGTCGATAAGGCATTGACTCAAAATAAATAGATGTGCCAGATACCCGTCTTTTAGGAGTCATAAACCCATGAGACAAATGTCCCCCATGAGGTAAGTCCAAACCCTGTTCCAGTTGCATGCAAGTAATTAATTAACTTGTGTTTTGTCACCAAATAGAGCTGTACCAACTACCAACAGCACTTAAAATGAAGTACCTTACCATTATTCGATCATGTGGATTGAGAATTGCTGTATAAACCTCAAAATTAGCAGGAGATCCTGACAATGGTTGAACATTAACACCCCACTTAGTTTCATCTAAGTGAAATGCTGCTAAAGCCCTTTTTTGACAGAGAGTTTCAAGTTCGTCTATGTATTCATTTCCACCATAATATCTGCAAAGAATAATTTAATTTTAGCTATAAAAAAATTAAAGGATTAAAAAAAAGAAGAAATTATCAAAGAGAACTTATTCCAATTCCAAAAAAATCTACATTGACTCATCTTGATTCAACTAGATAACTTCACCTTTTACCAGGTAGTCCCTCAGAATACTTGTTTGTTAGGCATGAACCAACTGCCTCCATCACTGCTCGAGAGGTGAAGTTTTCTGAGGCAATTAATTCAAGGCTTTTGAACTGCCTCTCTTTCTCCTTGTCAATAATTGCACGCACCTCAGCATCTGCTTCACTGAGGCCATAATCCACAAAAGTGCTTCTGTTACCTAAAGAACATACAACAGTATAAATATGTAAATCACCCTTAACGCTGAAATCCCATGTCAGCTTCCAAAGTCCAGCACCTTATCAAGTTTCATTCTAACCAGCTATCAACTTATCACAAGTTAAAAAGCAGAATTTTCTGGGGCAGAACCATTTGATCATAAATCTTCAGAAACTATTGTATACAAAAATTTGATCATAAATCAAATATCAAATGATACTAGATATAAGAAATAACATTTCAAGCAAAAAATAAAAAAATAGGACTAACCACTGATTTCAGGCACAGGGACAGAGACAGAAGAGGGTAGCCGCCCAGTAACAAAACTCCCTTCAAGATGAGAAGACCTACAGGGCTTCACTGAATTTAAATTAATTTGGTTGGGTAACCCAGAAATGCCAAACCCCTTCAAAGGAAATGAGGGTCTCGTGGCCCTCACAGGCTGTTGCAAAGAACCCATCATCCGAGCTCCACTGCTAGCCTGCACACCGACTTCCACTACCGCACTAGTTTCCTACGTTTACAATAAGGAATAAAACGAAATTTAGATGCATGTTCATTGCAACCAGGATGTTTACGGCCTTATAAGGGGAAGAGATTTTGGTCAAGATGAAGATTAACGTACCTTTCACTTCTGATAGTGATAGTGTGAAGGAGATGACTTCTGTGTTCTGAGTTTTAAGTTTTAACGCGCCAAGCTAAGACTGAGGGCCCTAAGAAAGCAGAAAAGTGAGAAATGCCGTCATGCCGTGGGTTTGGTGCACGGGCTGGGCCACAACAATAATAGAAGGTGAGATTAGTCCTCTGAGCTTAGGAGGGATTGTTTTGACCTTTTGAAAATAATTAGTAAGAGTTAGTTTTGATTAAATAAATTAAATATTTTAAATTATAAATAATAATAATAATTAGTATTAGATATTAATTATTAATTACATTAAATTATAAATAATAATAGTTAGTATTAGATATTAATTATTAATTATCCTTGACTTGATCCAAGCACTTAAAGTTTGAAAATCTACTATTAGATTTGAAGACCTGATTATTTCCCGTTTTGATAAAGGAAGAAATAAAAACCATGCTTTAACAGTCGAATAAGAGAGACATAATTTAAGAAAGATTAAGGTGGGCAAATTAGAAGAAAAATCTTTTAAGATTTCTGGATTTGTTTCCGGGGCACCCAATTACAAGAGTATATAAGATTTACAATATATCTAGGTTGAGATGAATAAAATAAAAGAGAGGAGAGAAAATTCTTGTATTTGTTTATAAAAAAGAAAATTAAGAATGAAGAGAGTAGAAAATTTTACTTTGTTTTATTTTTTTCATTTAATTTAATTATTTATACAAATATTGGGAAGGAAAAAGAGAAATGAGAAATAAAAGGATACAATTTCTCTTCTCCATTTTCCTCCCCTCTATTCCTTTTAACTCAAATATAAAGTTTAGTGTCATTTTAAAAAAAAAATACTAAAATTAAGTATTTTTTTTTTATTGAAGATTCAAATTTAAGACGCTCATCACATTATTTTAACAAAAAAATTAGATCAAGAGACAAGGGACTGATCAACAATTTAAATAGTTTAGTAGTCATTTTCTTCTACTAAAAGTAAAAGATCTTAAATTCGAATCGCATGATATGCGAGTGAGATGAGATAAGGAATAAGAGATGGGATAAGGAATGAGAGATGGCTATCTCAGATTATGCAACTGAGATAAAAAAAAAAAAGAGACAAGGGCTCGATGTCTTTAACAGTACAGGGCAACTCGAGTACTAGCAAGATAGGAAATATACACAACAAAGGGGATTAGAACGAACTATTAAGTCAGAATATGTATTAAAGTATCAGATTCTTGATAAGTATGCCAAGGCTAGCCTGTATTTCTTTATTCCACATGAGAAAGACCTCCACCACTTTCGGCTCGTGTTCTGCTCAGAGAATCATTAAAAGAAGAGAGTTAAATTCACCCGGCACTTTAGAACAAAACCCAAGTTTATCAACAAGTTAGGAAATTCCTACAGAATAAAATTTTCCGGCATGAAGAGGACTCGGTAAAATATATCGAAGTGCCATGTGCGTTACGTATGCTGTGAGCTATTTTAGATGTGATGTACAAATCAGCAGATTGACACAATAGATCTCAGTGGTCCGGTGCATATGGCTATCATGCTCGAAAAGCCAAATGTAAGGCTGTTTATATTGATAACTTCACTAACATCTAAACAAATTATGCAAATCACATTTCCTTAGAAAGAGAAAAGGTCATTTTGAAGCCTTACTTGTGATCAGAAGGATTGGGCGTAAGTTCATACACAATGGTTGCAACAACATCCCTCTTCAACTGTTAATTTTAGACAACAAAACATATCAACTTGAAGCCCCAACTCTATACTAGGGGAATTTGAAAGAACAAACGCAGCCGCTAAATCTGATCTTTGTCAAGGGAAGTGTACCTGGGTAGCTTCTCCTTTAAAGCCAATATAGTGGATTTGGGTTGTGTCGCCACCAAAACTTTCTGGGAAATGCAATGTAATGCTTGCAACACTTTGAAACTTTGAATATCTAATTATATGGATTAATATGGCATCACGAACTAGAAAATAACAGGGAAAGTTACAAACTCAATACCCTACTAATGATATGTCATTGAGAATTAACTTAACATTGTTTGCTGCCAAAAGGAACAAATATCATGCATGATATGATGCAAGTCCCTCACTGGAAAATTGACTGCAAGTGTTCTTAAACAAATGAAATCTTTCACGTAGAGAGTAAGTGCCTACCTTGTCTGGTACTCTAACACTCCATGCAGATTTTCAACCAAATCCCACTCCTTAAATCAAAATGCAATACGTTTCAGACAAAATTTGTTAACTTAACAGCTTAACCAACAAATCCAAGTAAAGAAAGATGAGCATACCTGAACAGGTTGCATACTTTGAGCATCTGAGAAGTCAATGCCATCCCGATTAATGAACCTAATTACAATGACCAAAAAAATAAAAATAAAAATAAAATATTTCTTTTTTCATTCAAGAAAAAGAAAGTCCAGGGAAGAGAGATAGAAAGGCACCAGACATTTCATATTAGCACTAACAATTTGCTTTTTACTGCAGAAACGTTTGTCAGTACCATTGATCAATTGAAAATGCAATAACTTAACTAGTTATGATTCATCTAGCAAAAGCATATAAACAGCAGCAGCAAGGATGTCAAGCAGCCTCATCAATACAAAACAAAAATATAACATAGCAAGAGAAATTTTATGCATGCCAGGAACTCTTTATCCTACTTAAACTTAAACATTCAGGAAGACATGAGTTTGATTAAAAAAGGTAATGAATTTGCTGGGTTAGTCATTCAAACTTACACTCTCATCTTGGAAGGGCTAGTTCCATCAGCACCACCAACAACTGATATGCTCTTGATCTTAACATCTGTTGTAAATCTATTAAAATAAATCCAACATAAATAAGAAGTTAATGCAACCACTTATTGAATAGAATGGATGAAAAGAAATAAAATAAACAATGATTTTGTTACTTGAACTACTAAACTTCAATTAATCATTTCATCATGTGTGAGAATATACATTCAAAAACATCTGAAGTTGGCAATCTAAACCTTGAGATTCTGAGAACAACAATTTAATTAGGCAACACCAAATTCACAAGACAGTTGAGACATAAGGTGCTATGATGAGAACAGGCCTTCCTGCAAATAATAACAGGTGCCATGACTAATAAGATGAAACAAATGTTAATGAGCCCTTGATCTTCCCACCATTCTGGTATTATACAGGCTACACTCAATGGATTAGGCAAGCAAAACATGAACTAGGGATGATTTGATGAAGAAGAACTCTCACTTAAAATATTATTAGGCAGTAAAATAAAACAAATGTAGCAACTTACGGAACGTAAACAAGTAATTCAGGATCACCCTCATTGCTCGCCAAGTGTTCCTGTCACATTCAGGTGATGTCATGAGGGCTCCAGGTTTCATTCAATAAAGAAGTATCTCACTACATCTCAGATAAGAATACTGGCTTTTTTAGAAATCTCTTCATTCAGGCTTGTTGGGGCACAGGCTCATACACCATACATACCATTACATAAATGCATAGATACATCATACATACATTCGCATATCATAATCTAAATTTAGATATCTCTTACAAAAACAAAAATGGATCAATTTCTGGATAGATAAGATAATGTAGATATACATAAACAATAGTAATTACCCCAGAAGAATCAAGACGCTGCTCCCAAGCTCTGAAAACTGACTTAACACTTCCTGAGACAGCCTCATTTAGAGCAGATACCTAACATTAAAACAACCCAAATAAAAAAAAAGTATTTCAATAATAAAAATTAACTAATAAACTAAGCGTTCAGATTTTATCATCAGAAAGCGAAATGGGTAAACATTCAGACATTATAGAAACAAGAGAAATTAGTGATCTTTCACTGGAAACTTCAATACCCATCATCAAAAATGTAAAAATGAATCGAAATATGAAATATTAAAGGTCTACCATTAGAGTTTAAAGTAGCAACTTGAGAAGGATTCAGGGTCACTATGCTAAAAGAAATAAGCATTGAACTTGGAATAAAGAGGATGAGAACGGACCTTGGAAAGGTCGATGTGCTTATACAGAGACCAACTCGAGGAACAATCGTGATCTTCGCAGTTGTGATCATGTAAACACGCCATTCTTTTCTCTTCTTCTCGGTTCAAATCCAGCAATCAAAGAGGCAAAATGAGAAACTCATTAGAAAGAGAGAAATTGCCCCCTGCACGTTATTCCTGCAAAACGTTCCGTTTTTCCGGCTTTATCCATTCCCTTTGGAACAACTCCACCTGAGTATGGATCTGAACTTTATTTGTTTTTTCAGTTCTACCCTTGAACTTAAACTTTGGGCTAATTTAGCTCAACACATGTGCTACGCTATTAAGTATTAACTGAAAATGTCATTCATGTGTATTGTCTTCTCAGTCACTTTCGAACTTAATAGAAAAAAAAAACCCATAATTGTTCAATAATATAATCATGTAATTTTTTATGAGACCTACATTATAATCAATAATTAACAAATTTTTGATTAAATTTTTAATTTGTGAAATTTAGTCTATAAATTATTTTTCTTTTTAACATATATTAAAGAAAACTAAAAGAATGAGGAGGCATTAATAGAGACTAGACTAGAGATATCATAATTTGTTATATGACTCATTTTGTTAAGGTTGGTCTTAATTATGCCACGATAAAGGAGCTTAATAGTTAAAAAATAAGATTAGGAGCCGAATTGGGAAAAAGGAACTAAATATAGGGGCTAAATTAGGAGTTATTCCTTTTCTCTTTATATCGGGATACGGAATAGGGCTTTTAACTTGTACGGCGTCGTTCTTAATCCTAATTTAAGACCTCTTTTTTATCGATTAATAAAGCATTAATTAAGATTTTCATTAAAAAAAGAATTAATTTAAGATTAAACGCATTGTTTATATCATCTCTCGCACGCAAAAGAACGCAGTGCGGCCCTTGTCGTCTCATGAAGAGAATCCGGAAAGAATGGAACGAGCAGAGGGAGCTAGCTCTGGCGGCGGAGAAGGAGCACGATACGTACTGAAACCGGCACCGCTAAACAACGAAGACATAATATTCTGCGTCGACGTCGATGCAGAATCGCTCGTGGAGATGAAGACGACGGGAGCCGACGGGAAGCCGGTCACCAGATTGGACGCGATCAAGCAGGCCATCCTTCTCTTTGTAAACGCGAAGCTTGCTATCAATCCCGATCACCGCTTCGCCTTTGCCACCCTTTCCAAATCGGTCTCTTGGGTACTCTCTCTCACCATTTCTAATTTTTTTTTTTAGTTTTCCCAGTTCTTATGCGTTCTGTAAATTGGTTAAGCTTCTAGTTACTGTCAAAAATCGCTGCTTTTTCCTTCCTTCTCCGTTTTAGAACTCATAGGTTTATATATTCTAAAATGTAGCCCATGGTAATGGTAGTTTAGTTTCTCATGAAGAAGGGAATTCTGGGTAATGCTATGTTCTTTGATCCTCGATTGAAATGCTAAATACTTAGAGATTCTGGTTATGAAATAAGATAGCAGGAGAGAATGATTATGTATATTTCTGGTGCTGATTTCGGGTTTTTTGGGGGCAAACCTCTCGTGACTGCCTGATGTTGGATTGAAGGAATCATTTTTCTTCAATTTCTACTTGCAAAAAGAGTAATCTTGAAACATGAAGCTCTTTTATAATGAGATTCTAACTTCAGCATTACATAAGCCGACATTCTTAGAATCCTTACAATCTTTAGTTTGGCACAAGTTTTGTTGCTAGATTGGTTATAGAATTAATTGAAATTGTCCTGATTTAGGGTATGTTTGGTACAGCTGGTGGAAAGTACTTTTGTACTCCAAAAGCTCCAGCTGCACCAAACATTATAATTTGTGAAAAATGCTACAATTTCTCACAAGTTTGTCTTTTGTCTACTTCATTGCAAATCTCAAAAGCACCAAATTGGTGCTTCTGCAGGAGCTTCTCATTTAGATTTTAATGAAATTAACACATTATTATTATTTTATCCTTATTTTTTTTTCTATTTACAAAAACAGCACTTCTACAACAGAACTTTTATTAAAAGCTCCAACTACACCAAACAGGCACTTAGCCTTCTTAGTTTTCTTTTGTCTGTTTCAGATCATGTTATTGTTTTATTTAGTAAGAAACTGGAGACATGTAGGAAACACAATATTAGCTGAAATTGTTGAAAACTTTCCAAAAAAAAAAAAATGCAAAGAAGACTTGCTTAAAGATCTTATGTTGGGGCTGTACAGTTTATGAACCTATAGAACCATCTCAATTGTGCTTCATCACTTCATGTTTATGAAGAAGTCAAAGACTGTATGTGTCTTGCTGGGCTTTTCATCATATTAGCTTAACTTGAGATTACCGTATGCTAAGGATATATGCTGTAACGAGGAGAGGAAGGCAAAGAGAAAGTCATGTTGCCTCAACTGTTAAGCCTAAAGACTTTTGATCTGTGCGCTGAGGACTTTATTCCTTTCTCCCATTTTCTTAGATATTTCATGATAAGACTAGTCTTTTAGTAGTTGAATTGAATTTGGGAAGTTATAATTTTATTAGCGGTTTTCTCTTTCTTACTTTGTTATTTTTAGTTACGGAAGGAGTTCAGCAGCAATGTTGAGTCTGCAATTTCTGCACTTCGAGTGCTTGTGGCTACTTCTCCCCCTTCTGGTCAAGCGGATATCACCAATCTATTCCGCTTAGCAGCTCATGAAGCAAAGAAATCTCATGCACAGGACCGGATTTTGAGAGTGGTCAGTATCAGTTTCTGCTTTTTGTTAATATATATTCATGGCGCCCATGAGGATTTTAGTTTCAGTTTTCCTTTTAAAGATTTATTCTAAATCTTCTCAAGTGGCGCCTTAAAGTTATGTGGAGAATGGTGAGAATCTTTTCGCTTGTACATATTTGGTAATCCTTGTTATTCTGCTGTCTTTTAGATTCCTATATACTGCAGATCATCTGTGATTTGGTAATCCTTGTTCCTCCTCTAATATTTGACATTTGGTGTGATATTCTGTTGTCTTGTAGATTCTTATATACTGCAGATCATCTGTGAAACCACAATTCCAATCACCTGTGAACCAGAAACTCTTTACAATGGATGTGATGTACCTCCATGACAAGCCTGGACCAGACAACTGCCCTCAGGAAGTCTATGATGCACTTGTTGAGACCCTCGAACATGTTAGTGAGCACGAAGGTTACATCTACGAGAATGGGAAGGGTCTAGCTCGTGTCCTCTTCCGTCACATGTCAGTGCTGTTGGCACACCCTCAACAACGCTGTTCTCAGGAGTACATGGATGCAGTTATACCCAAGCCTCTTACGAAGAAGGCACCAATAACTGAATCAGGAAATGGCAAAGGCAGAAGTCCTGTATCCAGCCAGTGAGAGTATCAAGTATCTATTACCACCATATCAGGGCATGGATAATTTTCCATGTCTCCTTAATTCATGTAGCAAGTACTTGGTTGACAATTTCGGATTGAAACAGTGGAAGCGTATCTTGAATTAGATTAAGATGCTCTCCGAAATCAGAATCAAAGATTATGGTGTGTATTTCTATGTATGACACCCACTTCATTTGGAGGCTGATTCCACCGGAATCAATAATTAATCCTTAAAAAAAATGAGAATGTGATTGAGAAATCACCATTTAACTTCTTGTTAAATCCGGTCAATGATTCTCAGCAATACCAAGAGAGTGGGCAAGTCTCATCACTCTCATCAGTTTGTTTCACAAATGTTGTTTTTTTTTTTTTTTTTTTTTTTTTTTTTTCAAATCCAGAAAGCATAATAATATATTACTCAACCCTAAATGTAACTTTTCAAATATGAAGAAAAAGTTTTTATATATAAAAAGTCACACTCTTCAACAATCAATCTCTCTCTTTTTTTCTTTTCTTTTTTTTCTTTCACCTCAAGTAGCTCTCCTTTGTCTCTTGATCTATCTTATTTATTTCTTATTTTTATAAACAAATTATTACTACGTAATTTAAATTATTAACCCTTCAACAATTCATCTCATCCCTTTTAATTTGATCTTAATATTTTTATTAAAATGTTATTTGAAATTACATAATAAGAGGACCTCCCATAAATTAAAACTTTTTATTTATAATAAAAAGAAATTATCATTAAATCATTTCTTTTCACTTTGTAAAGTGAGTCAATTGACTAAATATTACTGTTTTTGTCTACATTGGTTATAGATGTGTGAGTTTAGTAGAATATATAAGATTTTGTATAATTTTAAATTGATCGATTTTAAAGTTATTACGTGTTCTGTTTTTATTAGAAAAAATGAATAAATATTATCATTAATTAATATTAATATCCTTTATAACATGTGTTTGTGTGTTCCAAAACGCA